GGTCGTCCAGAAAAAAACAGGATTTTTATCCCTCTCGTTTGAAGCGGCTGCAGAGCTACCTCCATGCATTTCGAGAATGTGCGTGGGGCGAGCGCGTATCCGAACGGCAGATGGATATACAGAAAACAGACCCCCTGGAAGGAAAAATGGAGGAATTTCTTGTGTTTGTTTAATATCGAAATGTGGAAATTTGCATCCTTCAGGTCTATGGACACAAATCAATCCCCTCATGTCACATATTCGAGAACACGTTTCACCGTAAGCATGAGAGAGGGTCGTTCCATGATGAATTTGTTGAAAACAAACAGATCCAGAATCGGTCTGAGCCCTCCCGACTTCTTCGGAACCAGGAAATACTGAAAGTAAAAACCGGCTTCCTCCTCTCCTGGGGGAATTCTGGAAATCATGTCTTTTTCCAGAAGCTTCATCAGCTCTGATTGAAGGATTACGCCTTGTTCTGGGGATGTGAGATGGGTTTCTATCACTCTGTTGAATTTTGGTGGTGTTTTTGCAAACTGCAGAGTGTAACCTTTGTGAATTAAATGATGCAATCATTTGTTCAGACTGCCTGTTTTCTGCTACGCTGCTATGCACTCCGAAAGTGGAAGCGTGTGAATGTTTTGTTTCGTACAGGAGAACAATAACTGAGCCTTTATCACCATCGTATCCTGTGTGTGTGTGTGTGTGGGGGGGGGGGCTTCGCCCACACTGACCCATGGGAGGCTGGCATGAAAAGGGCTGTTTATCAGCTCCTATGTAACGGTTCTTACAATATTCCCCAGCCGTGCCCGGATGGGGATGAGAACTGGTGCTAGCGGGTGAATAAAACAAGCGCCGCTTCAGTGGAAGTTCACCTTCAGCGCTCACTTCTGTCGGCTTGTCAGGAAAAAGAGTGATGGATAACCCCTGCGTAAAGCTCTCGCTTTAACTGCAGGTTCATGTTTTTTACCTGTGTGTGACAGAAAGGTCCCTGTGTTGTTTGGGTTTTAACTTTTTGTTAAACATCTTACCATTATGTGTTTTCTGACAGCTGCCTTCAGCGCTCAACTCCTCTGACAGGCAAGGAGGCAGGGCTGGTGGATGAGTGGAGGAGTCTCGGAGCACAGCCCCCCCACCTCCTGTTTGTGTGTCATTACACCAAAGCTGTTTTCCTTTTCGTTTATCTTTGAAAGGTTGCCTCAAGGTAACTTTTTCATTAATTGTGTAGGATGTGCTTACAGAAAACGCAACAGATGAATTCAGCCTGTCTGAATGAAAAACTCTGTTTTTTGAGAAAGTTTTTTTTATTTTTCACTTTAAAAACCCTGTTCATCTCAGCAGACACACACCCCTCAAAATGTCTCCGCAGCTGGAGCCTGCTCTGTTCTTGCCAGCCGCCAGCTGTCGGAGCAGGGCGGAAAAACGCTCGGGATAGGGTCACGTGGTCCTCACCTGTTCCAGGGCGTCAGGTGAGGACTGCAGTTGGTTCAGGACCGACTGAAAATGAGGTCCGAAGAGGCCATGTGAGGACACAGGACCTTCCAGGAGTTCTTTTTTAATGTCTTCTGGGATGGACGGAGACAGTTTCAACCACATCTGTCTCTGCAGCAACGTTTCCCAGGATGTGATGCGGGCGGAGCACTCTGCAAGCGCCGCAGACAGGTTGTTGATTGTGTCCGCAGCCGTGTTGATCTGGTCCAAACCTGCAGAGGACGGGCTCGGTTCCTTCGTCTCATTATTAAGGGCTAATATAGCAATGTTGTTGATTGCTGCTCCCACCTGCGATGAGCACTGATGGATTCTGTCCATCAGCTTTGCGGTGAGCTGGTCACTGGAGGATGGCAGGGTAATACGTCGACCGACGTATTTCACTGCTCTCACCCCGAAAACAGCCGACAAACTGGGTTCTAGGGAAGGGACGTTGGGAAAACCCTGGTCCGTGAGCCCTTTGACTTTGGTGATGGCTGCGTAGGAGGCGACCGGAGCCCTCAGCTTTAAAGCATCATTGGCTGAACCCAGGAGGAGGGCAGACACAGCCGGGAAACAGGGCCAGCTAAGCAGTGAGCCTCCCAGCCAGAAGGGTCGACATGGCCTGGACCACTGGTTCGGGCACTTCCAGGTCGCAGGCTCTTTCTGACCTCCTGTTGATCTCTGGGAGCTCATGGAGCAGAGTGATGGACGGCCCCTGGGGGCTCCGGGGGGGTGACCATCGAAGGCAACACTGGCTCCAAACCTCCTGTAAGGCAGGATGTAGCGCGGCTGCTAGCTGTTTCAGCTTCAGAGGGGGACGTGTTCGCAAACTCCATGTCCATTGAGTTAAAAAATTCCTCGAGCGAACAGTCCCCCCTCGGTTGAAACTCGACCTCCTCAGAGGAAAAGAGCTCACACCGGCGCTGCTTCTCCTCAGCCGAAGAAAGTTTACAGGCTGGACAAGAGAAGAGCAGATCCAAAGCTTGCTGAGCGTGGTCAGCTCCCAGGCAGCTTTCATACATGACGTGCTGGTCCATAGATAAGATGTAGCCCGTCTGGCATTCAGGGCACAGACGGATGGTCTTCGATTTCTTAATTGAAGTCATCATTCTTCTTCTATTTTTTTTTATTATTGTTTCTTAGAAGTAGTGTTCATAGCGTTGGCTGAAGAAGAACGGGAGTCGAGCTCCGGTCCAGATGCAATTTATAACGGACCGAGTGGGGCCCACACAGCAGGTGGGCGTGGACTAGAAGTTTTCAGTGTTTGGCGCGTCTGTGCGCGGGTAAACCCAATAGCGACAGCTTTTAAAGGGCGTAGCTTACACAAAATAGAACAGCTTCTACCCTGAGTCTGTTACACTCATAAATCTCTAACCAGGATAATCACTGTTAAAAAAAAAACAAAAAAAAAACTGTGAAAATCACTGTAATGCCACTTGGTTGTAGATGTGCTGACTACCAATGATGCTGATCTCATGCTGCTGATTATTTTGTGTTGCTGTGTTCATTAGTCCTCATCTACTTTGTACTCACACAGACTCATGTTCGTGCTGCTGTTGTTTTGGCGCATTAGTTTTGTACCATTAGTGCTTAGTAGGGGTTGAACGACTACATATTTTTTAAACTCGACATTAACATAATAAAACTCGAGTAGAACTCGAGTAGTTGATGACGTCATAGGATCTCAAGATGAAAAAATAAATAAAAAATAAATCAGCAAAAAACCCGTCATTTATTAGTTACAAAAAAAAGACCAACAAAACATTGGGAGAGTATATTATGCTCCTACCATTTATCATACTGCAACTAAATCACAGGAAAAACTAAACTATTAGTTATTATTATTAAGCTGCAAAAGTGAAAGAAACATGCAACACGTCAAGAACGAAACTAAAAGCAGTGGGGCGGACAACCGCCCCGCACCACCGCCAGCTGTGGTGCGCATTAGGTTTAGTTCTAAAGATTAATATGTTTATAGTTTTTTTTTTATAGGTTTAGAGATATATATTTTTTGCTTTTGGTTTGTGAAACAAGGTCAGAGGAAGCTGGTTCTGGTTCGGTCGATTGGACACAGTGTTACACTATATTCTGTGACCTGCAACAGTGCATGCAACACCACCCCCTACGGTCACAATATACGGTGGTCACAGAATATGGTATAACACCGGTTCGCAATGAGCTCCAAACAGTCAGGAAGTTTATTCATTTTCTGTTTCCTTACGGTAGTTGAACATGAAGATTCATCTTTAGTGACATATTTCCATACTATTGATGCATTTCTACCTGTTTGCCAAGACTGGGTCTGCTCCGCTCAGTCCTTCTGCTGGGAGGAATCCATTTGCTAGCTTCTACTAGTAGCCCGGTGCGGATCACGTGACACAATGACGTCACTGCGAATACTCAACGTGAAATTTAAAAACTCGATAGATGTCCTAGGAATCGACCGGTCGATTACTCGAGTAGTCTGTTAAAGCCCTAGTTCTTAGTGTATTCTTAGTTTAATGAATGTAGTATATTCTTAGTTCATGACTCGGATCTTATTAATGTTTTTCTTTACAATTTGTATTTTGTTGGATGTAACTGGGATCTTGTGTACATTCAATTCAATTCAAAAATACTTTATTAATCCCAAAGGGAAATTATTTGTTGTTGTAACTTGTGATCCTCATTTCATTAAGAGATGTTATAGATGCTGATGGCTGTAGGCAGGAAGGATCTCTTGTAAAGATCCATCCCACAGTGGATCCTAAGAAACTGGCAGCACATGCCGTCCAATCCGTCCACCCAGACTCGGCTGGCCTCTCGGTTCCTCCAGGCTGTAGGACTGCCTGAATGGCGGGCAGAACTCCTCCCAGAGTGATGGCCACTCCTTCCAGCAGTCTGCTGAGCTCCTCGTCACTGTGGACATCCAACTGTAGGTGCCGAGGGACGATTCTGTCCTTCTGCTGTCATGAGCCGTGTTTCCTGCTAGTTCCAGGATCTCAGTAGTCAGGCACTCGAGCACAGCTGGCAGGTAGATGAGAATGTGTCCAAAGAACATCCTTTCAACTTATTTGAGATTTGGGGCTGTAGTTGAGATATTATTTGAGCTTTTGAGATGTTAATCAGCTGCTGTTGGTTGTAGAAAACTGCCTCGTTGCCATGGTTACGAATCATAACAAATGTCCAAAACTAAAAAAGTTTCAGTAAAAATCCTTTCAGCTGCACAGCATCCGATACCAGAGGAAACAATCATCCAAAAAAAATGTGATTTACATCCAGAAAAAGAGGAATTAAAGTTTCCAAAAGCAAAATCTCAGAATGAAAGTAACAGAGCTGCTCCAACATGCAGCCACCTTGAGTGGCGCAATTCTAGAACAAGCATTCTAGCAATTCATAGTTTCGTTCCACCTCATGTACCACATGTGATGCAAATTACAATAAAAATCCTTGTGTCCTTGTATATTATTTTTACATGTTCAAAACTCAGACAAATAAATTCTGGCCTATTTTTATTGTTACAGTTTGATGCAAAGTTTTGTTCTTCTTTAATGGTTTGTTTCCTATTTCAGGTGGGTTCTTGATACCCTATCTCATTATGCTGCTTCTGGAAGGTGTGCCCTTGTTCTACTTGGAGCTTGCCATTGGTCAGAAGATGCGTTTAGGCAGCATTGGAGCATGGACTGCAATAAGCCCTTATTTAGGAGGACTGGGTAAGTTGTACTTGAATGATTGCGCTCGACGCGCTGAATATAAAGTGATTAGGAGTACCTTTGTCTCCCATCTGGATAAAAATTAAGGGTCAGCAGATGACACAAACACGTTTCATGATGATATAGCGCTTAAGACTTTTTTGTAATTTTTAAAATTACAGAATATTTATGATAAAATCTTAATTGACTTTCTAGGATTTTTTCAGACTTTTATTTGGATTCAGTTGCTTTTTCATTAAATTTCAGTCCCTGAACATTAACATTTTCAGAGGAAAGCTAACTTAAACTCAAGGGATGAGTCAGCGTTGTGCTGACACATAAAAAAAACCCCCACAAATTGTGTCCTGATGCATGCTCAATAATCCAGGTAAAAAAAATCCAAAAAAGTTAAGTCTGGTCCTCTGGACAATCAAAAAACAAAACAAAACAAATTTTAGACACGTTTCATCTTTCATTCGAAAGACTTCTTCAGTCTGAGGTGCTGTATTCAGCTCAGTCTTATAAATAGCACCTTCTCGTAGTGGATCAACCAGTTTGCTGCTGACAGCCAAAACCAGTTGCTCACATGATCAAGGAGGACCATCAGCCTAATGATGGATCATTAGCACACTGATGGCTGTTTGCTATTCACAGGGGGCTGAGTGATACTAGCAATAACAGCATTGCAAGAGGGGGACAGTTGAACACGGAGGCCTCCACCCCTGTTTAATGATGGACGGTTTATTTTCACAAAGATGGCCTCCTTTACTCCTCTCTCAAACCATCGTTCCTCTCTATCCAGGATGTGAACATCTTCATCTTTGAAAGAGTGACCGCTGGCCTGGAGATGAGTGTAGACCTCAGAGTCCTGGCCTGATGATGTTGATCTTCTGTGCTGGGCCATCCTTTTGGCCAGTGGCTGTTTAGTTTTCCCAATGTAAGACTGAGCACAGCCCTTCTGACACTGAACAGCATACACAATGTTACTCTGTTTGTGCTGGGGGACTGGATCTTTGGGATGGACCAGTCTTTGCCGTAATGTATTTTGTGATTTAAAAGCCAGTGGGAGGTTATGTTTAGAAAATAAACGTCTCAGTTTCTCTGATACTCTCTCACAACATATGGAATGACCACTGGTCTGGGTCTAGGTTCCTCCTTTTCACCTGATGGCTGGCTGGAGTCCTGTTTGGGTTTCTTCTCTGCTTTCAGGAAGGCCCAGTTAGTATATTCACATTGCTCTAGAGCCTGTCTTATGTGGGATTTCTCCTTCTGCCTGGCTCCTGAGTTAGTGGGGATGCTGTTTGCTCTGTGGTACAGAGGCCTGATGACTCCCAACTTGTGTTCCAAAGGTTGATGGGAATCAAATTGCAAACACTAGTCTGTGTGGGTGGGTTTGTGGTACACCTCAGTTTGCAAATATCCTCTATCAGAAACTGAGACCTCACAGTCCCAAGAAAGCCAGCCTGCCATTTTTTTTACATCTTCTCGTGTGAACTTGATATATTTATCCACAGAGTTGATGTGATCAGTAAAATGTTGGACTTCCTGAGATTTAATTTTAACCCAGTGTCGTCAACATACCTGAACCAATGACTTGGTGGTGTGCATGAAAAGGACGTCAAGGCTCTCTTTTCTACCTCGTCCATGTACAGGTTGGCCACAATAGAAGAAACTGCAGACCCCATAGCACACCCATGTTTCTGCCTATAATTTTGGCCCCCATATGTGAAGTAGGTTGACTGCAGGCACAGTTTCAAGAGTTGACACAGTTGCTCTGTGGAAAGCGTGGTTGCTCAGAGTGGTGTCTGATTTTAATCTTAAATTGACCACCTCTACTGCATCATGAACAGGAATGCACGTAAAGAGTGATGTGACATCAAAAGAGACCATTGTTTCATCAGTCTCCATGATGACATCCTTCACCTTATCCACAAATTCCATGGTGTTCTGTATGTGGTGTTCTGAGCGGCCAACTAAAGGGATGAGTACAGACGCCAGATATTTGGAAACATTGTAAGTGACAGAATTAATCATGCTGACAATTGGTCTTAAATGTACACCTTGTTTGTCGATTTTAGGTAAACCATACAAACTAGGTGTGGCCTCCCCTGGGTACAGCCTGTGGTACAGAATACGGTCCATAGCCTTGTCCTGCTCCAAATTTTTCAGGCAATCTATCATCTTCTTCTTGTAGCCACTTCCTGGATCTCTTTTCAGTGGTTCATAAGTGGTTAAGTCACTAAGGAGTGTCATAACTTTCTCATGATAGTCTTTCTGGTTCAAAATCACTGTGCACCTTCCTTTGTCTGCTGGGAGAATGATGAT